GTTTTTTTTTTTTTTTTTTGGTTTTATTCATTTCAAATGGGCCGGATCCGGCCCGCGGGCCGTAGTTTGCCCACGGCTGGTCTAGGGGATCCCATAGCACATCTGTCACCAGAACTACGATTCCCAGAATTCCTGGTGCTCCCTGTGCTCTTGGTTTCTGATTCCAATCCAGGGACTCAAAAATCAAAAGGACTGGGAACTCCAGCTGCCCCCAGGCCGAGTAGACAAGACCAGACACTCCAGTAGTGTCCCCAGGACCCCGGCCCCTCGGCGCCGGCGTGTGTTGGCTACAGGCTTGAAGCAGGTGGCATCCTGGGGAGGACTGTGGCCCATCCCACCCCCAGCTGCTTGGTGCCTGTGCACGTGCACGCTGCCCACAGGCCCACAATCTTTGTCAGGTTAATTTGCATGCTCACTCCTGATTGGCTGTGGTTGTCGTGGAAGGACCATCAATTTACATATTTGGCTATTATTAGTATAGATTAAGTGTCTTCACATATCATGAAGCAGTTACTCCTTTAATCCTTTCACCCTTATGGACCAATTATGTAATGATAATTAGATTTATCTACATGAATGATAAAGGCTGTTGGCTGGGAGGGGTGTTGTTTTGATCTTGAGAAACGATTCAAAAATCTTGCCTCCTTGATGCTGTATGAGCTGAGCTCTTAATAACAATGTATGAGTCCACAATGACTTTGGTAGCAATTCTTTTCAGTGACAAGGGTGAAAAATAGTGCGGGGGACATACTGATTTCTGTTTCTATTCTATGGTAGGTTGTGGCCAAAAGTATTTCTTTGATAATTCATACCAACAAACACTAAATGGTCCTTTGATGTGTAAATTGGGGGGAATACACAGATGTTATATGGGCTTTTGCAGTTTTCCAAAACAAAACTTTGGAGTGTATTTCACAGAACAATCCACTCATGTTAGTGTGGTTACTCTGACTCTGGTTTTTAACCCTAGCTATCTTCAAATCTTTTTGCGTACCCATCTTCCCAGTCATCCTTTCTATGCAGTTCTCTTCTTTTTCGGTCTTTTGCATTGCTCTTTGTCTTTATTGGGCTCTTCTTCCCATCTCTGGTGGGTGTTTATTTGTTTGTTTATTTGTGGATACCTGTCTACTTATTCTGGCAGGAAGATAAATTCTTCTGTCTTCTATTTTGCTATATTGCTGGTGTCACTCTCATAGTTATTTATTTATTTATTCATTTATTTATTTATTTCTGCTTCGATTTGTTTTTTTTCTCTATTGTTTCATCCATGCTCTCTTGTTCTACCACAATACTGGCCATGCATCTTTTCAGTTTTTCTTTGAGGATTTCTGTCATCTGTACCCAATGTAATTGCTCAACTGGGATTTAAGGGGAGGAATCAGTTTTGCATTATAAGAGAAAGATGACTATATCCACCGCAGAGTGGACCCAGAGGCTGTCTTTCCTTGGTGAAGGGCTGTTGGGTAGAGTTTGACACAGAGCTTTATTAAGATTATAACTAAGGCCGAAACCGGTTTGGCTCAGTGGATAGAGCGTCGGCTTGCGGACTGAAGGGTCCCAGGTTCGATTCCGGTCAAGGGCATGTACCTTGGTTGTGGGCACATCCCCAGTAAGGAGTGTGCAGGAGGCAGCTGATCGATGTTTTCTCTCTCACCAATGTTTCTAACTCTCTATACCTCTCCCTTCCTCTCTGTAAAAAAACCAATAAAATATATTTAGAAAAAAAAAAAAGAAACAGTCTCAGAGACCTCTGCCCCAGGACACAGTCAGCACATCCTGGGCC